TTCTAGAATATTTATATACATAGGTTGTGTTCCTTCGGGAATAGCACCATAGCTTTTAGAATGTTATTACAATATTAATATATTATTTAGCTCTTGTTTGACAATCATTATTTGAATTTTTTTTTTACATACTTATTTTCAACTACACATTCACACAATCAGATATTCTGCACGTAAAATCAAAACTTTTCCATACCTTTAATCACACATTCGTCTAAAAATCACTATTCAAAACATTATTTTTTCCAAATAAGACCATCAAACGGGGACTTAGTCATTCTTCTTCGTGAGCATAAACATAGTTAAATATAACTGTAAAACATATGATATTTTTCAAGATTTGTACTACTTTGGGAGCAAGGCATAATATTTTTCGAGAATTGAAATTTATAAAGTTGTGCTCTTAAATAGAAATAATGTAATATTTTTTAAAATATTAATTATATAACGTCATTCTTCAAGACATAAATATTTTTTTTATAATGTTGATTTGTTTTGAATTATCTTCTTTAAGAAAACATTACTCTATTGAGATTTTGTAATGTCTGAATTTGTACTTCTTCAGGAGTAATGAAATAGTATTTTTTCTAGAATAATAATACTTAAAAATAATCAGATGCTCTTCTAGAATATTAATTTTAAATTTATACTCTTTCAAGAGTAATATTACAATATTCTTATAGAATATTGACAAGAAGTAATAAATTATGTTTAAACAACTCCATGTCTATAGTTGATATAATCAAAATAACATTTACCCCTCTGTTATACAACTCAAAGTTAAGAGAATAGTAACGTTTTATTTGAACGAAAAATAAGAGTTCTTTATAAAATCAATCGGTTAAAACTCCGCGTATTTCTTGAAAGCAAGAGAAATAGTTTTTTCCACCTCATCTTAATTCGATATCCATGAGTAGAAAGAAGAACAAGATTTGCTAATTCCGTTGGTTAGAATTTCGTGCTAATAACATATTATTAACTATTGAAAAAATAGACGGAACTAGAAAAGGCAGTTAGAATTATTTGTCTATTTTATTGAGAATTAATGTTCCATATTTATAGTTAGGACTGCAAGAGTACAGTGGCAATTCAAATTTATTTATTACAAAACTGATTCTATAATCGAGGTTGAATTGCATGAGTCGAATAATGCTTATCTTAAAGTGCTATTTCTAAACACATGGAATAAATAAGATAAACTATGATTTTTGCCCATGAAGATTATTTATCACATATTATCTTTTTTGTCAATATTATGTATTGACAGGTGGTTCTCATGCTGCAACAGTAGGATTTAATCTTCAGTTGTTGATGACTAAAACTGAAGTAGAAAATATAGATCAACACAAGAAAAACTTAATGGAATAAAAGTGTTTAATTGCTGGAATATTGTTGAGAAAAGGGTAATTTTCATTGGGTAGTGTTTGGTAATATATTTCAGAGAAATGCTTAGATTGACATTTCTTTAAGGGCATTTGCCACCTTATATAAGCTTAAGAACAGGAGCTTGTTGTTCTCTATCTTGTCAAGTTACAGTGTGTAACCTTAATCCATGTGCCAACCCTCTACTTGGATAGATTTGATTAGCTGAGGAGTTCGGCTGTGATACATAAGTCGTAGCATGTGGTCTAGGTCATCATTACCTGCAACCTAGGTAATCATTACTCTCCTAATTAGTGTGAATGTCGGTGTTAACTTTAAAGGATGCTCCTTCACGTTTCTAATTGATTGCCATGGTAGGTCCTGATATCATTCAAGAGCATTCCCTCATTTTACACGTGATTATATTTTCAAATAATGGCGATTTCTGGCCACTCTAACTAGTCAAACCTCATGGTCCAACCTTACCTCATAATCTAGGAGTTTTCTATTAATTCGGTCTCTTTAACCACATTGAAGTGGATTCCTGATAATTAAGCCTCTGTACGAGGTGACCCCTTGAGATCGAATACCAACAATTCTCTCCCAATGTCTGAATTCTATCTTTTGATGAGTTCGGGCCTTAGGACTTAATGTCAATTCTAGAGATGATGTTTCAGTGGATGGTGAATTAGTTCCACTTCCTTCAAAGCTTCTTCAAAAAGGTTCATCAAAAGGCCTTTGCCCCTTTATATAGGCCTTAGAACAGGAGCTCATTGCTCTCTATCTTGTCTCGCTACATTGTCTAACCTTAATTCATGTGCAAACTCTCTACTTGGATAGATTTGATTCGTTGAAGAGTTCGGCCAATTTAGATCATTGTTATATCTAGGTAGTAGCATGTGGTCTAGGTCATCATTATCTGCAACCTAGGTAATCATTACTCTCCTGATTAGTTTTCTATTAATTCGGCCTCTTTAACCACATTGAAGTAAATTCTTGATATTTAAGCCTGTGTCCGAGGTGACCCGAATACCAACAATTCTCCCCCAACGTCTGAATTATATCTTTTGATGAGTTCGGGCCTTGAGACTTAGCGTTAATTCTAGAGATGATGTTTTAGTGGATGGTGCATCAGTTCCACTTCCTTCAAAGGTTCATCAAAACAAGGTCATTTTGATCATTTCAATCTTGACCCTTGATTTTATTTTTCTCTCTCTCTCCATTTTATTTTCAATCGCTTTAGATTTCGCCTCTTCAAATTCTTGCCACTTAAATTTTCATTTTCCTCCATTTTTCCTATCACTTTACTCCCAATCTCTCTCAACTCTCTGTGCTTTTCCGTTCTTCTTTCGAGTAGTTCTTTCAACCCAGATTCTCTTTTATCTTTCGAGGTCGCATACCGAAGTCTTATCCAGATACCTCTTCTGTGCTTGTTCACCTCCTTGTCTTTTTCTTCTCTTTTCAGTTTCTTCCTCCCTTGTGTTAGAATGAGTTCGAACAAGTCCAGTTTTTTGGTGACTGGGCAAGAAAATTATGTAGGTCTTCCCCCAGTTTGGACGTCCGTGAGGTTTTTACCCCCATTACCTATTCAAGCAGTTCATCCTGACAATATTTAGCCATAGAATCCATTGCCAACGTCAAAAAACTCGAGAATCGACTTAAGACTTCCCACATTCCAAGCTCGGTCGAAATGCTCCTACTTGGGGGCTGATGACCGAGATTGTGAGCCCTCGAAAGGTTGCGTGGCACTTAAATTGGCTATATTGACAGCTATACCGAGGTTGCACTTCCCCTGGGTGATTCGAAAAATTATTTCTTCATGGAGAATAACCCCAATCTTTCTCTGCCTTAAAAGAACTAAATTATGAATACATAATTTAAAATTTGTAATATTATTTGTCACTCTTGTGTTGGTCAGTAGAACTAAGCTATTAAAGCATATTTTTAAATTTGCAAAACTCTACAAATTTGAGGTCTATATTGAGAGATGTAATTGATGCAGTTGCCAATGACTGAGCACTTTTATCGAATGTTTAATACGTAATACTGGATAATATGTACATATTGACAAATAAAGCTCTCACTTCTCTTTTTTTAAGTAAGCGTTGTTTAACTCGTGATTATAAATGCTCAAACCATGTTTACTCGTACATTTCGAAGGTCTTACAAGTACTGATTATTTTTCGAGCACTCATTTCTATTTATTTACAATTAAACTGTTCATAATCACTTCCCAAACATGCTGGAAATATTTGAATTTAATCGATTTCAACTTCTATGGCACCTAGAGTTGGACAAAACTCTCGAACCGAACCAAACTGTTCTTCTTAAATTAAATACCCGAATGGATATCTAAATAAAAAACCGATGGATTTGGTTCGGTTCTAGACCTAGAACCGAATCTCCCAAATTTTTTAATTTTTTTTTTATCTTAAATAGGTCAATTTTTTTTTTCTAAATGAATTTACTAACTAATTAATTTAGCTCAAAC